TCTGGTCGTACTGGGAAGGGGGAGGGCGGAGGTGGGGAAGGGGTGAGGCAAGGACAGTTCGTGTTTCTCAGAGCCAAGTCTTCACCGACGCAAGATGAAAACCTCGATGGATCAGTCCGTAGGACCTGTTGCTAACGGTTACACAAACGCTAGAACAAACAAACTTACACTCACACATACACAAGTTAAGTGTTTTAATTCATGCCAGAAAACATGCAAAACCCGATTTGCCTTTCATTTCCTTCAGCAGAGCTCGGGACCGAGCCCTCGCCGGGTGTCGGCGCAGCCCGGTGGTGAAGCTCAGCATGGACAGATGGATGGAGGGACGGAGGGATGGAGGCGGCGTGCGGCGGCTTCACAGTCCAGAGGGGGACGCGCCGGGGCCGGGCGCTTCGTCCGCTGGCCGCAAACCAAAGCGAGAGGTGGAAGCCATCATCCCTGGCACGTCCCTCCACGGAGAGGCAGGAAGGAGGAACAGGAGCCCAGGAGAGATGCTGTGGAAAAGAGGACGGTGAGCAGGGCTGGTAGGATCTGTGGCCCGCCCCGCTCTCCCTGTGCCCGCCGAGGTGGATCTGATCCCGCTGCCCATCAAGCAAAGCCAACTTTATCCTACATGAGGTGTATGGGGTGGGTAACATCCCGTCCTGCCCCCCCGCAGGAGCTCAGGGAGCCCAAGGACAGACAAGACAAGGCTCCAGGAGTAATTAGTTACTTACTAACAAACTAACAAAACTGACGAGACTTCCATCCTTGCTGGGTAGCTTCAGAAGGAGGATACCAGCGCATCTGGAAAAAAAGAAAGCCACGCCAGAGGTCTGTGATCCAGGATTATTTCAACCAGAGCCCAGCTCCTTTAGGCCACCCGTGAGCAGAGATGGCTCCAGTACTGGAAAGGAGGCACCAGGATGTACCCCAAAGTAGTGCTCTAAGTGCTGGCACCACCCAGCCCTGCACTGGTGCACGGACAGATTGAGGCTCACCAGGCACCAGGACAGGTCCTCCCTTAAGAAGGGCAAAAGGATCCCACACACCTGAAGGGAGCTAGCTCCCCATCCCAGGGCTCGTCTCAATATCCCAAGTACCGTTCCATAACCAGCAGACAGCGTCAAAATTCACACCCAGCTCACTACAATACATTGAGCAACACCATCCAGGCTGTTTGTGAAGCTTGTCACTTTGGAGGTGTGCAGAAAGGGACAAATCCCCCAGTCACACTCACACTCTCCCAAATATCCCATATTTACAGCTTTTCCTCCATTCAGGCTCAGACAGGGCAGAGGAGGCTCACACCAGGCAGCCATCACTGCTAGATGGTGACCAGTCTGCCCTCGGCCAACAAGAGAGATGTCACAAGCCAACACACTTAAACCAGAACTCTTCCACTTGACTCAAGTAAAACCTACCTCTTTCAACACAGAAAAGACTCAAAGAGCTTTTTTAAAAACTAACACAACCATCAGAAGAGATTCTGGGCAAACTATGCAATGGAGACAAGTGGCAGAGCTATGAGCCAGCAGGACTTGGAGGCTTCCCCAAGCACCTCTACCGCCCAGCGCAGCTCTACCACAAGGAAGGAACCAACAAGCAGACGTAGGAATAATAACCAAAGCAAGCCCTATATAGGGACAATGGGCAAGGTCTTTTTGAATGCAAGCCCCATCTGGAGTGAAGAATGCCACAGCTGCTAAAATGAATGCTTTGGTAGTAGAGGCTTCATGGTTCATCCAACTTGGAGGTGGCTATCTACTACTGTCATGTCATCGATGATCAGCATCTGGCATTGCCACAGGCTGTAAGCAGGCAGTAGACGTGCCAGGTTGCTCTCCATATGTGAGAAGTTGCTGCCGTCAGGTGAAGTCCCCAGTGAATAAGAGTATCACTCCCAGTTATAAGAAAGGGAGGAAGGTAGGAAGGAAGAAAGATCTTGGGAACTAAAGATCTGGGGAACTACATGCCAGTGAGCTTCACCTCTGTGCCAAGGAAAGTCAAGGAACAAATCCTTCTGGAAGAAATGTTAAGGCACATGCAAGCAGAATAGGTGATCCCACACAGCCAGCAAGGCTTCACTAAGGGCAGGTCAAACCTGACCCAGATGGCGGCCTTCTGTGATGGCAAGACATCACTGGTGGACAAGGGGAAGGCAATGGATGCCATCTATCTAGACTTGTGCATGGCATTAGGCATGGTCCTGCCCCACGTCCTCATCTCTAAGTTGGAGAGAGATGGATTTGATGGCTAGCCTATTTAACAGATAAGGAATAAGTTGGATGGTTGCAGCCAGTTAGTGACGAGCTGTGTCCCCCAGGGGTCTGTCTCAGAACTGTTGCTGTTCACATCGTCATCAGCAACACAGATGATGGCATTGAGTTTGCTGATGGCACTGAGCCGAGCGCTGCGCTGGATACGACAGGAGGAAGGGATGCCATCCAGAGGGAGCTGGGCGAGCTCACAGAGCGGGACCACGTGAACCCAGGGAGGTTCAACAAGGCCAAGCCGGGGTGCCGCACTTGGGTCGGGGCAATCCCAGCTGTGAGCACAGATGGGAGAAGGCCTCACGAGAGCAGCGCTGCGGAGAAGAACTCGGTGGCTCTGGTGGATGAAAGCCACAGACGAGGCAGCAGCGTCCATTGGGGGCCGGAAAGCCACCGGCATCCTGGGCCGCACCAACAGAGGGGTGGCAGCGGCAGGGAGGGGACCGTCCCCTCTGCTCTGCCCTCTGAGGCCCCAGCTGCGGTGCTGCGCCCAGGCCTGGGGCCCCCAGCACAGGAAGGGTGCGGAGCTGCTGGAGCGGGGCAGAGGAGGCACGGAGATGCTGCCAGGGCTGCAGCACCTCTGCTATGGAGACGGCTGAGGAGCTGGGGGTGTTCAGCCTGGGCAAGAGAAGGCTGCGGGCCCACAGCAGTGATGGAAGAGTGCTGGAACTCTCTGGTCCCTTCAAATTTAAGCCACCAGGAAAGCCACTCTGGGTTAAGATAGCAGCAGGCAATGCCAGGGAACAATGGACGGCTGTTCTCTAAGCACCTTCACACTGCTCTATAGTACACTGGGTTGTGCAGCAGCAGTCCTGCTGCAAAGTCATCCAGCAGTCCTGTACTAGTGCACAAGACCTCCACAGGACATCCACAGGTCTTCAGAGGAGACAGAGCTGAAGACTCATTTAGTGAGAACCAGTGATGGCCTCAGCACTGTACTCCAAGCTAGACACATCCCTGTTCTAACCCTACTTCCTCTGCCCCTGGAAGAAGGAGAGGTCTGTCACCTGATAGAAAGGCCAGAGGCTTCATAATGAAAACACAGACAGCAAGTGCCAGGACCTTGAGACAGCAGCCTCCTGCCAGGAAAGGACACCAAGGTCACACCTCCCAGAAAACACAGCTGCCTGTGACAGCCGCATCCTCCTTCCACCAGCACAAGACCTGGGAAGCCAGAAACTGAACAGCCCCAAGGCAGAGCGGGAGAGCTGAGATTCTTCTTGTGATGCTTCCCAAGGGAGAACCCTGCCAGTTCCATCAGCTATGCAGAGCTGCTGGATCCCAGCTATCCAAACCCTACAGCTGGGAGGTGCTTGCTCAGCACAGCCACATCTCCCCATCCAGCACTCCTCCCCTCGACAGCTGGAAGCAGTTTCCTCCTGCCCTGAAGCAACAGGAAACTCCCCCTTCCTTCACAAGGCCACGCACTTAACCCAGCAGCGGCCGCCATCCCACGCACCCGGCCCTTGGCGTGAGCAGCAAGGCAGTGGGGCACATACACCCAGCCCAGCCTCCAGCCATGTCCCCAAACCTGCAGGCTCATCTCTGCTTTCCTCAGGAGCCACCTCCTGCCCCAGATGCGCACTCCAAAGCTTCTAGCACCTTTGTTAGCCAACAGAAATCCCATCCTCCTTCTGAAGAATGGGATCATCTAGCCAAGATGACATGCTCTTTAAGAAAACAGAGCCTTTGACAGTGCCAGTTTCTATTATTATCTTAACATCCCTCAAAATGCCTTGCTTATCCCAGGCACTGGAAGCAGATTGCTCTTGGAGCTGCCTGGAAGGAATGCAGCTAGGCAAGAGGATCTGCAGGGCTGTCTCCAGTGGGCCTCAAGGCAGCAGGTCCTGCCAATACAGCCATCAAGGATGGGAGCTGAGAAAGAGTGGACGGGGCTATCCAAAACTGGGATGGGAAAGCAGAGCAAGAGAGGCTTTTACTGGAAGACACACCATTGCTTCTGGAGCTGTATTAGCTCACAGCTGGAAAGGAGTCTGATGTCAACTTGCATTTCTCTTGCTTGCCTTCCCTATGGAAGTCCTGTCACCTCCCTGCTGTCAGAAAGCCCTCCCTACACAGGACAGGACAAATCAGCCCTTCCTTGTGTTTCTGGGAGCCGGTAAGACCCCAGCAGCATGTTCCAAAGCTGGAAACACAGCAGATGGCAGCTGACCCACAGCAGCAAAGGTCAGTCAGGAAGGCACACCACAAGCACTACCATCACCCAGCAGCACTCTCCAGATACCTGTTCCCAGTCCCAGCAGCAGGCATCTCACTCACACCTCCTGCTTCCAGGGCCCTGAGCTGAGGAGGCAAACAGGCAAACCCTTGCACAATGTGCAAGACCTAAATAGCTCAGCCCAGCACCAAGGAAATCTCAGTGGAGTTGAAGCAAGCACTCCCTAGCCAGCTAGAAAGCAGCACATCCTATGCTGTAAGCATGCAGAAGAAGATAGGATCCATTCCTATTGCTCAGAAGGAGGACTTCGGGAAGCATCCAGTGCCTTGAACCACTCAGCTTCGAGGCAGCTCACAGACCTCAGCTTGCAGGTTGGGAAGTCACTGCTGATGGCATCTTGGTCCAAGTCACTCATCCAGTGATGCTGGGAGAATGGGTGCTCCCAAGGAACAGAGAGCATCTCACATCTGTTTTTTTTCTGCTAAAAAGAAATAGCTCGCTCGGGGAGAGCCTGCCTTGGTCAGCCTGTGCCAGCACTAAGCCACTGGAGCTTGGGCGAACACCACAGCCATGGAAGTCTTGGAGAATGCTTCACACATTTAAGGACATATGCCCTGAAAAAATCCTGATGAGTCCTATGTGACAGCCCCAGTGAACAGGCAACAAGTTACAAAACAACACACACAGTTTCCAGCCGTTTCTGCTGTTTTCTGCTGTTTCCAGCCACCCACCCCAGGAAAGTCCATCAGCCACCACAATGTGAAGTGCAGGAGATCTTGCAGAGGGGACCCCAAGGCTGTGCCAAAACTCAGTGCTACACCGAAGCAGGATCCTCATGGCCCTACAGGTCATTGGGCTGTCCACTGCTCCAAGATTACCAGGTTAGTGGCACCCAGATGATCCCACCCCAGCAAACAGCAGCATCCCAACAGGAGGCAGGGTCTCGAAGAGCAACACAGCATCTGAGCTCACCCTGCACTCCCAGTTATTTAGGGCCAGCAGCAGGTCACAGCTGTAGGCACCAGCCTTATGCCCAGCCACTCCACAGCTCAGAGACATCCAGCCTGTCTCAAACAAGCTCACGCAGCTTACCAGAAGGAAAAGTTGGAGAATTAGGCAGAGCACTGACCTCCCCTTCCATCGATGGGCTCTGCCTCAGCTTGGTGTTGGGAAGCCTTTCAGTCCTGCTGGCCTTTGCCATGAAGCAGAGCTTGATTGCTCCTTCCACTCCCTTGGGCTGATCCCAGATTCAGAATCCTGCCCTCACCACCCCCACTGAAGGATGCTCCTCCAAACCATGTTTCTACTGTTGGCAACAGCCTGGAGACTGTGGGGGCACCTTGGGCAGCCAACCCACCAAGATGGGCAGCTGGAAGCTTCCATTCCATGATCTGCTCCCTGCCTTGGGAGCATCAGCCACAGCCTTCTAGGTCCTGGCTACTCAGCCTGGTCTCCTCCACGTACCATATAGTGACTACCACCAGTTTCATCCACTCGTCTACCCAATTCCCAAAGAAAGTCCAGCCCTCAGGGTTGCAGAGCCATCTTGGAAGCATCTCTTTACAGAGGTGCACTGATAGCATGATAGGAGCCCCATTGTCTCCTACAGCACACCCAAAGCCTGGCTTAGAGATGCTCCAGAACACGTGGTTTCACAGCAGAAGCACAGTGCAGTCCAACACAATCACACAGATGCTAGCTGAAACATTTCGTTGGGTCTAAAGGGCTCAAGACAAACTGCACCCTGGTTTCCATCTCTGTACCAATTCCCCCTCTTCCCAACTCAGCACATCTGTGCACCCCAGAGTCTTCCAAGGACAAAGGCAGACCTGGGCCCCCATCTTGGATGACTGCTCTCCCCAGTATCACTACCCACCACAAGAAGCAGCGATCCTGGACTCAATTCCTTCACTTAGAGCTAAACATAGCAACCATTCTCCCACATTCCCTTTTCCCATCCTCCCGGTCTCCTGCACTGCTCCCTTCCATCCCCAGTCAGATGCCCTTCTGTACAGCTCTCAAGAGCCGCAGCCTGGCTGTGGTTTCAGGCTGCAAAGAGAAGACAAGCTCCAGGCAGGAACTTGCTCCATTTCCAGTAACTGGAGAGAAAGAGGTGAGTTTAGACCCAAGACTAAGGGCAGGGTCTGTCCCGATATGCAATTCTGGAATAAAGTGACCGCCAAGTGCTGTTGTCTAAAGGTGCCCAGTAGAATTTAGTTGTGTGCTAATCGCTATCACGTCACTCACCTCCCCCATTGTGTGCTAGGAGTGAGGTCAAGGTGTATCTCTGGTCGCCCTTAAAAGGTTGTGGATGGGGAGAAACCAGGTTTCTGTCACACCAAGTGGCAGGGTCATCCCTGCCCCAGCTCAACCGGGCTGCTCCCCTCCCACCAGCAGGACCTGGCCAAGCCTGGCTCAGCTGGGAGGAGTTGATGTAAGATGGTGCCATGCTGTGTGCGCCATGTCATGTGCTGCCAAGTTGGAGATGTGGGTTAGAAAGAAAGCCTGGTATCTCATTCCCCAGGCTCTGGTGGGTGGGTAGCGTGAGGCCCATGCACTGGGTGGGCAAGGAAATATGGGCTACAGAGATGGGCAGAAGCTTGCAAATCCCATGGTGCATCTTGGAGGATAGATGGTTACCTTACCAGTCTTTCCAAACGGGGCTGCCGTCATGCTTAACACTTCTAGGAATGGAGCTGTAGCACAGCCACTCCACTAGCTGCAATAAGGCATCACTAGGGTGTCCCATCTCCAGGGACAGCTCTGAGCTTCAGGGCTAGCCTGCGCTGGCATCATGGCTGGAGTTCACTAGGGACATCAAAGGAGGGATTTGAGAGAGGGTGGGAGGGAGGGAAGGCACAGGGGACAGTCTTAAAGTCAGTGGAATCCCCATACGTAGAGGCTTTTAGCAGTGCTGGCTCAGGTCACAGTCACACCTACGGCAGCCTGGTGCCTGGAGGGACCCCATCTCCATGGCACAGCAGCTCAGCAGTGCCGGAACAGCAGTCATCCTGCTCTTCTGCAAGCGGCTCACTGAGAGCTCCTGGCAAATGAGCCGAGGCCAGACCAGCCTCCTGCCATCTCCTGCCAGCCCTCTGGCACGACAGGCACCTACTCACCTACTTTCTACCAGGCTTGAACACAGGGCTTGAGACTATGAGTGCTTCAAGTTTTAACCTTTTGCACCAAGCTCTCTGTTCAGCTGCTGCCTCCAACTACGTGCTCCCTGCAGTGCTGATGGCTCATGGAGCTGCTCCAGCCATCCCCATAAACATCCTCCAGCCAAGAGGAATCCCAGGAGGAGGAGCTACCGCTCCTAGAGAACAGCTCGCGTGTCCACCACCACCAAGCCCTACCAGTGAGAACAAGGGCTCAGCACACCAAAACCAAGGTTACAGCTTCTAGCCCTGTTTGAGAGCAAAAGTCACCTCGCACTGCCTTAACTCCACCCTGCCTCAGCTCTGCAAGGAAAAGGGCTCCAGCCTAGAGATCAGGCAGCTCCAAGCAGCCAACTTAAGTAATGTTTAACCCCATAAAACTTTATTGGTGATGTATGCTGCACCAGAATGTCCCCCTGTGAGATCACCGCCAACCTCAAGCACAGTGCAGCAAGGAGCAGCTGTAACTGCTCAGCCAGCCCAGCCACTCTTCTTCATCATAGCCACAGCTCAGAAGGGACACACTGACTCCCCAGGCCTTATGGGAACATCATGCATTAGGGACTTGCTTGGGCAGGGCATCCCATGTCCTCCCAGTATCTCCCTGGAGCCAGAGTTTCTCTCCAGGATTCGAGTCCTCAGAGTTAAGCTGCCTGTCCAGCACAAGTAGTTTGCCAGCTGGAAGGTTTAAACTAAAAACCCAGATGGAGAGAATCTGACTGAAGGCTTCCTTTATTCTGGGAGAGCAGTTTTGCCTCTGTCCACACTACACAACATAAAGTCCTGGTGTCTGACCCTGCTGCTCTGGGTCCCTGTACAGTCACTGATGATCATCCTCGAAGGAACCACAGTAGTAATGGTTCCACACTCCTCAGCAGTGCCAGCCAGGATGGAGAGGGCATTCCTGGTTCTTACTACTAGGGGCAGCAACAGCCCTTGGCTCCACCACCCTACACAAGGGAAGGACAGAATCTGCCCTCCTGGGCTGCCCAGGCGCACAGTCAGATGCTCCTGTAGCTGTGGGCACTTCTGGAGAACATTACACAACTCCCAAACTGGAAGCAACCCAGTGAAGGGTCAGCATATCTAGAACACCAGGCTGAGCCTGTCCTGAGCCCCACATGCCTCTTGCCTACCCTGCAGGAGCATCAGCCCAATGCTAGGTCACCAGCAGAACAAAAGCAGCAGAGGACAAGTCTGTGCAGGCAAGGAGCTTGCGTCTCCTTCACATTGCATCTGCACACAAGCTTGGCTTGAAGCCATTCAGCTATGGTCAAAACACTTGCAGGAGCAAGAAGAGGCTGAAGGGCCAACTCAGCTGTTAGCCAGGTGGGTAAGGTGATGGGACATTGCTCTTCTTCCTCCCAGGCTAAGCAGGGAAAAGCAGAGCCAAGCAGTTAAGTCCTGATGCTCTGGGAACAAAGCCCAGAGCCCCACTGCACTGGCCCCCAGCACTACTATGGGAACAGAGACTGAAACAGGCAGAGCCCTTGGTGACATCAAGCAGGGTAGGTTCTCCTACACAAGTGCTCCAAAACAAGCACCTTCACATGGAATTCAGGCCTAACCTGTATTTAGCTTTCTTTTTGCATTTCTGCCATTTTGGAGGTGGTTATGCTTAGCAGGGGTGGGTGGCCTCAGAAGAAAATCATGCTTTCATGTACTATGATTCCAGTATCAGATGAGCAGAGGTATCCTTATGCCTCCAGCTGTCAGGGAGCACAGCCCCTGCGACAGCAGGCAGCAGTATGCATCACCAGCACCTCCATAGCCTATGGCAAGTGGCTGCACTGCACCCACAGGGTCCCACACCTTTGCTTCAAGGAGGATGTTTCATAGTTATGCTTGCTGGCACGTAGCACATCCTCCCCGTAGACACACAAGAAGCTTCTCTGGCAATGGGGACCAACGCCAGACAAAAACTGAGCGCTCACCTCAACCCTTCCCTTCCCCCAGCCCAAGAGAAAAGCTGGGCCTGCAGGGTGGGGGAGCAGCAGAGCTCTAATTGCATCCATGTCTCCCATTTATTCCATACTCAGCAGCTCCACCACTCGCCCTGCAGCCCGTGCAGGGCCTGGAGCAGCAGGAAGAGCTCTGCCAGGAGCAAGGTGCAGAGGCCAGGGGAGAACCAGCAGAGCAGAGACCCGAGGGAAGAAGCACCAGGGGAAGGAGAGAGCGGCTCTCTCTCGGCAGGAGCCAAAGGGAGAGACTCACCTGAGCGTGAAGAGCAGCGGCCGCAGCAGCAGCCGCTGGGTACGTGAAGGCGGCATGGGGGATGGCAGGGGTGAGCTCCGTGGTGTACAGTGGGTAGGGAGCCCATGCTTCTGGGGATGCCGGGATTAGAGCCGCTCCAGTCAGGTCATCTGGACAAAGAGACAAGGGGACAGCCAGCTCAGAGCTGGACCAACTGCCTGCTTTCAGGGACGGGCTCCGCATTTCCAGCTCCAAGTTAAAACTCTGAGGCTTAAGATGAACACCACCAAAGCGTGCCAAGGCTGCACGGCACAGCACTGCCCCTTCTCGCTTTGCGTCTAGAGATGATTTAAAGCCCTTAGTGGTACCACTCCACCTCCTCCACACTTCCAGAGTCGGCCAGAAGCCTTAGCAGATGCCTGCTGTTCTCCTGCAACCCCAACCCACTGGCAGATATCAGCCAGAAGACACAGCTCTCCTTCCCACCCTGGCTCTAGGCTCAGCTGCACCAAGCCCTGCCACCAGCATTCCCAGTGCCAGGTACCTCCCAGGCTGGCCCTCAAGCTGCATCCCAGCATACTCACAGGGGTCCCGTGCAATGAAGTGTGCGCCCAGGGCAGGGTGGATATTGGTGGGGTTTGGTGTGGCCATCAGCTTGCTCTTGGCCATCTTTGTGTTGGCTTTAGCAAACTCTAACCGCAAGGTCTGAGGGTTCTCTGGGTCAAAGCGGATGCCCTGTGACAGAAGAAAGCAAAGGAGTCTCTCAGAGAGGTTTCCCATCCCACTGCACTGCCTGCAGCTATTCATGTAACAGTGCCCAACAGCGGAACAAGGGCCATCACCCTGCAGTCACATACCCAGTTTGTCACCTCATGCTTGCATTTCCCTACTTCGCTGACCTAGGACCCACTGCTTCCACGTTAAGGGACATAGCTTTGCTCTTTATGTGCAGTTCCCCAGCCAGCAAAGCACTGACAGCTATTGGCAGTAGTCAGGAAATATCCATCTGCTGGAGCTAAGATGCCCTGTCTGCTCTGGAGCTTCCTATCTGTGGTGCTTCTACACCTGTACCAGCCGGGGTTGGATAAGCACACACCTTGAGACTCAAGGGGAGCTCTGCAGCAGATCAGAAGAGCTGCAGATGTATTCTGTTGCCTGTACCAGACAGCTCTGGCCACAGAAGCAGCAGCATGGGAAGGCTGCTTCCCCTACATTGCACCTTCCTGGAGCAGGTTCCATCTGGCAGCAGAGCTCCTAGCAGGTCAGAGGCCAGGACAAGGACTTACCCAGACTAATGGCACCCTTAAATATGACCAGCTCTCCCACTTGGCTTCTGGGAAATTGCATGACCAGTTAACTACCACATTTGAGGGCACAGCTGGGACTCCTTGGCTCTTCCTACACTAGGGACAAGCCAAGTATCACTCGTGCTCCAGACCAAGTGACAGCAGTGTGTATGGCCCCCAGCCCTCCCAGTACCTCCAGTACTCACATTTAAGGCATTCTTTGCTGCTTCAGCACCAGCTCGGCTGTCAAAGGTCACAAAACCAACCGGCTACAAGAAACAACACTGATTTCAGTTTGGAAATATCTTTCAGATCCACTACCTACCCTGCCACCCTTTCTATCCCAGATAGCTTACAGCAAGCAGAAGAGGCCAAGCAAAGTTGTATTGAACCTTTGAAGCAGAGCTTGAAGGGCCTTGGATCGTTAACTCCTGCTCTGTCCTCTCCCAGCACAAAGTTTTCTCATCCCTACATAGCAGGCACTTCTCACCCTGGCAGCCTCTGGCAAAGCTGCTGCTCACCCTCAAGCAGAGCTGCTGCTAGAATAGGACCAGGGACCCCTGGTGCAGGGCTGAAGGACCTGTTCTCATCCAGCACCCATGACCCCCGGCCAGTCTCAGGAAATAAGGAGACATCCAGCATACACTGAGCCTTCCAGCCACCAGGACAGGGACAACGAGCAGAACCCAGCTGCCTACGTGATGCCACACACAGTGAAATGGCATCTGTCCCCAGTTCCCATCAAGCAGAAAAGAGAAATACCCAAACTCTAGGAAAAGGAGGTACCTGCTTCGATGTTAGCTTGATCAGTGACCCTTCATAACCCTGAGAAGAGAAGAAAGCAAGACAGTGTCAGGTTCTTGAAGGAGCCAAGCTAAAATTTGGCCATGCTGCAACAGCTCCAGGAGCTCCTGCAGCACCAAACCCTACACGAGACAGGCTTTGCAGAGGGAGATCTATTAACCCATCTCCAAGGGTGCCAGTTCACTCTTTCCCACCGAAAGAGAAGACAGTCACAAAGCAGAGAAGGCATCTCATCTCAACTAGCCTATTCTGCCTCTCTGGGAAGAAATCCAGCTCTTGGCCAAGCTATTAAAAGATGAGCATCCTGCTCCAGTAGGGAACACAAGGGCTCTTGGGAAGAGGCTCATTTTGATGAGCCACCCATACCCTCTTTCTACACCACGGCTAGATGGAAGCAACAGCAGGTTGACTTATGTGTACCACATTATTTGATCAGTACGTGTGTCCTAGCCCAGGTACATCGAGCTTACCTAAACGCTTAAAGCCAGCCTCCTCTCAACACATGCTGCAGACCACAGAAAGACTTCCAGGACATTTAGGACCGGACCTCCCAGGTTCCCCAAAGCTTTAACAGAAGGCTTAGCTCCTCACTTCATTCTTGCTTCCTGCCACAAGATAGCATCCTTTCCACTAAAGACAAAACACGAAGACTTCCTTACCTTGAATGGTCGGAAGAGTAGGTAGAGCTCTCTGGGTTTGATGTCCACAGGAAGGCCACTGACAAACAGTGTCCGTACCTAGGAAAGAGGTCAACGAGGTCTACTGAAAGGAGATATTTAGTACTGCAGGAGGAACACAGAGCGCAGTTTAGAAGCAAGGTGCAATGGGATTAGGACATCCTGCACCAATGGTGGCTTTGCAGGCACTAACACTTCCCTGTGTTAGAGCAGCACTGTCCTGGACAAGGTGCAGGCAGGCCTTTTCTACTTCCCACAGTGGGATTTAGACCTTCACAAAAGATTCAGGCTCCAGGAGAAGATCTTGGGTTGAATAGGGTATGGATAGCAGCCCCACAGTCTTTTAACAGACCTCGATGCCAAAGGCTTGAGGTCTGCTAGACGACCGTATGCTGTCAAAAGCACTAAAGGAAAGTTTGACACATCACGGTTCCAGAAGAAACAACCTCAGCTGTCTCTCTAACTCCTTCTAGAGATATCAAGTGCTTGATCACTAGATGTCTTACCCCTAGCCCATCCTGGTGCCTCAATTCAGCCACTAAATCAAAAGAAAGCCCTCAACTTTCAGTGCCGCCTCATAACTACACAAGTATCTTTGACTTCAGAAGCCCCAGGAGAATAATTTGGGGTCCAGCCCAGCTCCCTCCCTAGCACTCTTTGGAAGTCACTCTCAAACCGCACTACACCAAGTCCAAGGATGCGACTGCTCTTCCAAGCTGTAGAACTCATAAAACAAATCCAAATGCCTTTGTAGAAGCACAAACACAACAGAAGATGACTTCAACAGACAGTGGTAGAATGCACATAAATAGCCAGGAATATGGACCAGTGGTAAAGGCTGGGAAGAACGCTGCTGAGCAGCAAGACCATCACAGCCACCTTCTCCCTGCACTGGGAGATGCTGGCTGCCAGCCTATTTCCATAGGAAGCAGAGTGATGAAGCTGCCAAGATTTCCTGTAAGTCAGCATAGAGCTAGAATGGGAAGTTATGTGCTACAGAGGTCACCAAGGCACTAGTCATCATTGAAAAGGACTGGGAGAAAACGAGCTCAGCTTCACCAGGAATGAGAAGCATGGCAAGACAGAAAAAAAGGCTCTAGAAACAAGATGGAAATCTTTGTTCATTGCTTTCAAGTCACCTGGGCACGCCTCCCGTTGAAGCAATCTCAAACATGCCTGTGGAACACTGGAAGTAGAGAAGGACAGCACGAACACCCAAATGCCTGCTGGCACCAAATCATACCAGACACATCTAGGAAGGACACCCAGCAGGACCAGGAGCACAGAGCCCATCTCCTGGCCTACTTCCAGCCTGGAGTTTACATCCCTATCACACTTCCATGGCATAAGCATTCTGAACCCACACTTGCCTTGCCTGGGCATCTCCCCTTCCTCAGAAGAAGCAGGCTGCACCTGATGCCTCTTTAAAGCTCTCTTCCCACTCAAGTGAGAAGAAACGCAATGTTTCTGTTGCTTTCCAATAGGGAACGTGTCCTCCCCTCATGTCCCTCTCTCAGTTCAGAGAGATTTTTCACATCAGCTCAGGGGGTACCTTAAACCCTATAGGATGGGCATAAATCACAAATTCTTGGATGCTCTGCCCCTCATTCCCTTCATGAGGAGGGATCAAGGGCCACCAGCACTCAGCAGGCACCACAGTGGGCTGCTGCCACCCCATTTAGGATGCAGAGCCCTTCTCTAGGCCAGCGTATATGGGATACAACCACTGAGCATCCTTATTCTCTCCTCACATCCTCCCCACCAAGCCCAGCAACTCGTTTGGTGCCACAGCACACCACTCCAGAACCATCTTATGCCCGAGCTGAGCGAGCAGTGGCAGCCAGAAGCCAGCACCTTGACAACTTCAGGCTTCAGCATGGGCTATACGAAGCGGCTGCTGTGCATTCCCAGAAGACACACGGCCATTTCTTGCAGGGAAATGTTGCATGGAGTGCAATGGCACATGTGCCTGAGCCACGTGAAAGCACCATCCCTTTTCAATATTTCAGGATTTGAGTGCGCTCAGGCCCCAGAAATGGATGTTTCTTCCAAGCAGATAGAAATCTGCATCCCTGTTGGGTCTCTAAATGGTCCCGTGATGTGCAGCTCAGTAAGTCCTTGCGACAGGCATGACAGAATGGAGGACATTGCCATTGCTTGGGGAGGGAGAAAGTCGGCTACCCAAAGCCCTTACAACAGCCTGATCAGAGCAGTGCAGGTGCCCAGGAAAGCTCTTTGTCAGAGGGAACAAGCCCCTAATGCTGTCCTCATCTGGACAGGAACAGGATACATTATTCCAAAGCTTAAAAGCTCCCCGTGGCCTCCAGGTACAGTTTGTCACAACACACAGATTGAGAAATGGGGATTCCAGACAACCCACAGCAGTTGGCAAGGATGGGCATCAACCCAAGAAAGCCTGGGCAATCCCCAGTGCCACCAGCTAGAATCTCCAAAATGTATGTGCCCAAGGATCACGAGAGACTAAGGAAGGTCCTGGCTCAGAAGACCTTGTTAGGGGAGGAGGTGGGACCTTAGGCCAACCTCCTACATACAAAAAGTGCAATTACAGAGGAGAAACAGTAAGGGGTCTGGAAAAGCATCTTCTAGTGGGGTAACTTCCACAGGGCTCTCCAAGAACCTTAAACCCTTCAAGAGGCCACCAGGATCTCCACCTTCCTGCCTTCGTCAATTTGCCCCACTTCAATTCTCTGCCACTCAGCATCAGATCCACTTCAACATTCAGCTTCCCCACAGAGGCAACTAGAAAAGCCACAAGACAAGGGAAAAAAAGGTATATAGATGTATGTATTCCCTTCCCTGTCCCAGCCCCCTCTGGGGATGTCCCTGGTGCAAACACCCGGCAGAGATGGAGGAGAGCCATGGAAAACAGGATTTGTGCCAGGACGGACAGGACCGTCTAGGCCATCGCTTGAAGAGGGAGGATCCCAGCATAGCTTCCCACGCAGAAGCAGGGAGGGACAAGGACGAAGCCATTAGTGCTGAGATCCTCAGTGGCTCTGAAGCCTTTCTTACACTGCTGCGCCCCAGAAGAGATATCTGGTGTGAGCACAGCCAGGTTCTCAGCACCAAAGCTTCAGGTCCACATCTCCTGGTCACATTTGTTTCGTATAAGCTTGAAGGGGAGTCTTAAGAACACATAGATACTGCCCTGCAGCCCAGCAAGGGTCAAGTTATGTCAAAAATGCAAAGGCACAAGCACACATCTCCTGCGAGGCTGCTCTGGGAGGTCTCCAGGCTTTCGTCAAGAGAGACAAAATCTGTCTACTCTGAATCCTCCCACAAGAGAGCAAGGCACAGCCTCCCCTTCTGTAGGACGCAGCTTTGACATCCATTTTCTACTCCCCTGTTCTCACAAAGCTGAGACCCCATAGAGTCAGTCAGGTCCCAAAGGCAGTCCCTGCTCCACACAGCCAGGTTCTCTACCCGTCCCCAAAGGGTCCCACCACGCCGCAGCCCCCACAGCTGCTCCCACAGGAACACATCCCACCTATATGCTCTGCTTGGGCACCCCAAAGATCAGAGCTCTCGGGATGCAGCCACTTGACACGAGGCTGCTGGAATGCAGCAAGGCTGCAGGCAGCCCCGGGAGCCGGGACTTATAAGGCATGGATGGGAAAGGCGGGGAGCCAAGCGTGCAAAATGCAGAGAAGGAAAGGCTCGGGAATGCCACTGCCGGAGCTAAAAAACCCAATGGGGCCACTCCAGATGGCCTACAGGGCTTTTGCTCCTGTGGTCGGGGCAGGAAGGAGCTCGAGCAAAGGGGGGAGGAGGGCGAGGTAGCAGCAGCTGCCTGGAGCAGCAGGAAGCACATGGGGGCCGATAAGCCCTGGCACAACAGGGCAGCACCCAAGAATAGGACGTGGTTGGGGCAGAGGAAGCTCTGCTAGTTTTTATCCCGGGGGGCAGCTTCACAGCAGTTGCTCTGGTGGGAGATGAGCTCCCACCTACCATTTCTGCCCTGAGCACAGGATGTGGGTTTGGCTGCAGAACCCTCCCCAGGTATGCCATCCTCTTGGGTCCTCATCTGCATCCAATGTCACGAGCCAGGCAATGGCAAGCTGAAAGTTTGCAGCAGTTCTCTGCTGTAACACTAGTTACGAGTGTCACTTCAAATCACACCTTTGGGGATGCTGGTAGGATGCCAAGGCAACCGCAAGACTGAACCACCATTGCATTAGACCAGTTCCTGGCAAGACAGAACTACAGCACAGTGCTACACAGAAAACAGACCCTAACGCCAACTTTAAGCAGCACCAAGTCCTGATTCCCCTCTGCACTACACAGGGCTCTTCCCCACAAGACCCCACGCACACAATACAGCCCAGAGGATAGGGGCAGGGCAGATGCAAGCCCATCATCCTCCCAAGGAGAGCATGGGGAGCCAAGCTCCCAGAACAACAGCTTTGACCCACAAAGGCAAGCTAAGGTCTCACACCTACACCATGCCTCTGTGTTCACAGTGACAGCATCTGCGCCTATAGGGCATGCAGCAGAGGTCAATACCCAGACAGGAAAAGGCTCCTTGCTCCCAGTCAGGGCATAGTGCTCCTGCAGAGAAGGTGCCAAGCACTCTCACACCCTGATAAGGCTTTGAGCTGAAGCCTTTATTCTGGGCACTCAGGGCCAGGACAGGCAGAAGCTCCGTGATCTCACCACTCAATCTTCACGACCCAAAGTCTAACATGGCCAAGACCTACAATCCCAAAAATATCTTCTTGCTCCAAAAGCTTTCTCTACCAGATCCAAAGAGTCACACTTGGCTTCATGCAATGCCAATTCCCCTAACAATGCCGGGAGCTCTCAGAGCTGCATTCCAGATGCTCTAGGAGCATCCTTCCTATTTTGCCCATCTTGGCAAGGAAGCCTTAGATTTGGGCCCTTCAGAGCTTTACCATGCACCACTTAAAACCATTTTCCATCACAGAAAGCTCTGTTCTATAGCTCCTGTGGCTAGCCAAGGAAAGAAACTCAGTTCCGAAGCCACGTCTTGTTTACTAGATCAGCAGGCAGAAGGAATAACAGTTCTTATGTCATGGAGACCAGCTGGAATACTGATGCTCAAAGCAATTCATATTGGAGTCTAAGAAACGTAGATTTGAATAAGCAAAGAAGGAGAAGGAAGCCATTCCATAGGCTTCCAGGGGCCACCAGGAGACAGACTCCCACATCCCATCCCCCTGGTAAGAGCAGCCCCATTGATAGAGGAAGCCTGGGAACACAGCAGTTCCCAGGACCTTTCCAGTGTCCTCCTGGGGGAGGAAGGTTTAACATCAGGCTTCCAAATCCCAAACAGAGCAGGAGCAACACCTCTGCATCAATGGGACGGAACAACAAGATGCATGGTAAGCAAGCAAGCTCCTTGGGCTGCTGGAGAAAGCAAGGAGAGCGCACAGCACCCAGCAGTGCCCCTCGGGATGGGTGCTGTCGTGCAGATCGGCAGCTGCCTGGAAAACTAAACAGAAGATAGCAGAAGTGGGGAGGGATCGGCTTTGGGGAGGTGTCTGGTGAGGAACAGCAGGGGCTGACAGTCGGCCCTGTTTGTTTAACATTCCCATTAGCGACCCAGAGAGGAGTAAGAGGCATTCCTGTGCTCAGCATGTCACCGGGCAGGAAGGGGCTGCGAGATGTGGGGGCTTGAAGATTAGATAAAGGGAAAGGCTCAATATGGGAGCTTTGCATCGCCATATCTGGGGCACGCAGTGCCCTTCAGGGAAGCAGCAAAGTAGGCTCATGGAGGAAGGTGAAAAGCAGAAAAGGTGTTTACAGCTCCAGGATCTGGTGTTATTCTCTGTGCAGCTTAGGAAGATACCCCAGCGCCATACCCCTTCCTGCTTGCATTGGGGTTGAACGGTTCAGTTCAGTAATTAAACGTAATTACTGCTAATGGGGAGTGAATTGACACGCAGCAATGGGAGCTCTGGATGAGAGTTTGAATTTGGGTTGGCTTGGATGTGGCGAAGTCCCCTGAATGTGAGGTCATTCCCGGTCCCCCCCACCACCATCAGGATCCTCAGCAGAGAAGCGCAGCTCCCGCTCAGCTGGGTAAAACAGCCCTGTGGGGGGGTCCTGCAGAGGACCACCACGGAACCCAAGCAGTCAGGATGGGGACATCCCACCAGTCCCAGAATCACCTCCAAGCATCCCCAGCTACCACCACGCAGCACATCTAAGAGGATAGGCTGGGCCATCCCTCTCCCTGCATGCAGTGCAGAGCAGGGGACACTTGTCACTCAGCCAGTCCGGCGCCCCACAGCACAGAGCTTGAGCCCCATTTTCCAGGTAGCGAGCATCACACTGGAGGTGACGCACTCTCCAAACTGCCCAAACACCGTAAGGGTGCAGCACCACCGCAGCCAGCAGATAATTGGAGCGCACAGCCGCAGCCCCGCACACGCAGCCCATGGAACCCCCTGGTGCCAAGCCTCCCCGCACCCAGAAAACAGCACACGCTGTCCTCCCAGCGCCACCCACCGAGGTGGGACACGTCCCCAGCGGTGCGACATCGCGTCACCTCAGCTTCGCTCAGCACAGCGGAAGGAACACCGCGGCCAACACCTGCGCGCCCATTCCACCCCATTAGCCAGGTCCCCAGGATGGAGGACACGCTGGCCCCGAGGCAGCTGGCGCACAGGGACCAAAGGGCCCCGGTGGGCGGCGGGCAGCCAGCCCGGGCGCCATGTTGCGGCGGTGTGAGCGCACGGCGTGCTGGAGGAGGGCGAGGGGAGGGGGCTGAACATCTCCTGCTCCCCAGGGCCAGGCGTGGAAGACTGCAGCAAAACGTTGCGTTTTCCTCCAAGATGGAGGAGGGCGGGTGACCCTGCTGCACCGCCACCACCACCCCAAGGGTTGTGGGATGGTTCCGTGGGCCGCTACACAGGGACGCTCAGGAGCCCTCCCATCATGTGGTCTGTCTCATGATGGCCATCTAAAGGATGGGGATAGTGGCTAGGGTGGCACACAGCCCCACCAGCCCCAGCTAGGTTGTTGGTGCAGATGCCATCACTACAGTTTAAATTTGTCCCTGTCACCTATATTGGCATCTGGATGTCAGAGCTTGGTTGCTCCAACTCCAAGGGAATGAGGTCCTTGACCCAGGAGACTACAAGATCACCCAGGGCTCACCACACTGCAGCCAGTAGTCATACTTCCAGCCTTGGATAAAGCCAACACACACTGCGCTGCAGTGCTGGAGCCCCAACGTCCCAGCCCTCCAGTTCTTACAGCTGGACCTCAGCTCTACAACCCAAAGATGCATCAGCATCCCAACACCGTTCACTTACACTGTGTCTCCAGTGCTGCAGCCTTCACACCCTTGATCACCTATACTCTGAAGCCCAGATATCCCAGGTCACAGCTCCTGGGGCTCCAAACCCCAAGGAGCCAAACCCTCAGTGCTCCTCAGCCCCACTGCCTCGAGTCTCCACTGCTCTGGGTCCCCACTAACAGAGTTCCAGAGCCTCAGAAGTCCCAACTCCCTGGTGCCCCGGTGCCTTGGGTCACCACTCCCACAGCTTCAGAGCCTCAACAGCGTAAGCCTTCAATGCTGCAGCTCTCAGGACTCTGGAACCCTCGGGTCCGCAGTGCTCTGCATCCCTGTTCTTAGGGCTCCTGAGCCTTGATGCCGGTGGGTCTCCGGTACTCCAGAGCCCCAACAGCCCCGATTCTCTGGACGCAGGGTCCTCGGTGCTCCAGGTCCCTGCTCCCGGGACCCCGAAGCCCCGACGTGCAGCACTCCCGGTGCTCCAGCCCCGACGCCCGGCTCTCGGCGCTCCAAAACGTGTTCCCCAACGCGTCCCACGAGCTCCCACCTCCTCCTCGACGTTTCCTCCACCGTTGGTGTGCTCGGTGTCCTTATTGAGGTTACTCATAGTGGGGGGCCGAGGGGGGTGGTGGTGTGAAGGCGAGTGAAACAGCAGCTCCGAGCGGGGAGCGGGTGCCGTGCGGTGCCGGTGCGCGGTGCGGAGCTGCCCTCCCGGCTCACATGCGGTGTCCCGGGAGGGGGGTTCGGCTCCGCCGTTAAGAACCGGGCGGAGCGGAGCGCAACGAGCCGCAGCTGCGGGGCCCCCGCCGCTCCCGGTGCCGCTCCCGGTGCCGCCGCCGCCGCGCACGGAGCAGCGGGGCCGGGACCCGCCCGCCCCCACCCCCCCCCCGGCCGCAGCCCCGGCCGGGACCGCCCGCCGCCAAA